TCACAATTCATGGTTCATGGATGGAAGAGGAATAAAGATTGAATCAATTACTAGCGGGGCAAATGAGGCAAGAGACATTAGTCTTACGCGAGGTAATTTATGAATATCCAGAAATAAAAAGGTTTTCTTATTTGCGTGAGATAATAGCCTTCCTCCGAGTTTATTTGGGAATTTTGAAACGTGGAGAAAAGTGTCCTGACTAGGCAGGAGTATTGTCCAATACCTGGAAAGAGGGAGAAACACAATATCTCAAGGTATAAACTTGTCTGCCTTGACTTTCGTATGAAGTTGTTAGCAGTACACATGATATTTTCTTCTTTATTTTAAGCAAATATTTAATGTTGAAAACGGTGTAATCGATGATGGAAGATTGGCAGGTTACAAAAACAATGTATTCTTAGGTGGCAACCAATCGCTAATGAAGATAGTATTTTCGTGAATGTTTTGCATCAGTAATTAGCTACACTGAAGTCATAACCAAAGATTACTGATGTGCGTTTGATTCATCTTAATGAGATTTGAGGTTAGCTTAGGATTATAGTCTTGTACCGTGCTGTTGTATTGTTAATCTGAAATCTATATCATTACTTGTTTCGCGATAAACAAAAAAAAAATTTCGCTAACTTATGAAAATAAGATGGCCAACCGATAGCCTGAGTTAGACATCCGTAATGAGTACCTATTACATGTGCCAGCTCATTTTTCGGACCAGATAATTTTATTTCTTCTCGCCTGCCTTTTAGGAAAGATCACGTAATTCATTATTGACGTAAAGTATGACAGTTCTTTGTTCCGTCTATCGATTAACTACCTGGTCACAGTGTCTTCGGACCGTTATCAACATTCTAAGAAGCATCTGTCACCCGCGATGATCAAACAGAAGCAAACAAAATGTTAGCTGTGATCTCAATCAGTTTTTATGCTGCTGTCTAGGTGTGATATTGAAATATTTACATCTGGAAGACGTTCCTATTTACACTGTCGGCAAAATGTCATTAATTCATGATCTCTGATTTGGATTCTACCTCCAAAAATTCCGTGCTATTTAAGTTATTCCAACCTTTTCAGACACGGAGATAATTTCACTGAGTTGACGAATCGCGATGTAGGTGTGCTCTTGAAATATTTGCATCGCGGAGACGTCTTTCATAACAATATTGGCCGAACAGCAGCGAGTAAGAGGGCAATAAAGTAGAAGTTACTAGATATAAAAGTCGTCCTGCAATCCTTGAAGAAAGGAAGTTCTCGACAAACGATAAATCAGGCGAAATCCGTGACCACTTTTCTCGAGGGTTAGTGAAAACGTGGTTTGTGATGGGATGAATATAGGGATGATTGTTTCTTCAGCAACGTTGTAGAAGGAGTATGTTCAAAAAGAAGGACGAAAAACAAGTGAAGACTTGAAAATTTGATGGGGATGATTTTTGCCCTTGAAAGTAAATTACTCCTCACTTTAATATTCGGCAAAGTGTAGCTTTTCTGAAAACTTAGTATATCAAAGCAAGTCATATGTTAAGGTCAATATTTGCCCCCGATAAATTTTCTGACATATAAATTAAGTTTTACTTTATAGTGATGTTGAACTAAATCCAAAGCCTACGTTATCAGCATTTGCTTTATTTAACACAAAGATTAATTAAGTGAATTGGGCTTAAGGCCATAAACTAGCTTGTTTAAACCAATTGTTTGTTACCCTTATGGCCATCTTTCTTTTGTTGATGCTGTTATTCAGCAGTTATTTGCTACTCTAAATTGTCAACTTTCTTTTCATGATGCTGGTATTCGGTACTTGAGAGACCATTCAAACAAATAAGTACAACCAGAGTAAAAGAAACTAACGATGGGAGAAACAACAATAACTGCTTTTAATAAAAAGGAAAAGGAGCTATGAATTTTGATAATGCGGAAGTTAGAAGAAAAATCATTTATTTTCGATGGGAAATACCAAGTTTTCCCGTTTTTCTATACCTACCGGAGAAAACCTTTGGATCTTTTCTATTTCTTCCCTCAAGCTTATAAAAGATAAACTGAGCCAGCAGGAGATATGAAATTGTCAGAGGCAAGCAGAAGGGTGGATAAATAGGCATAGCGGAAAGAACCCGGGGATACGGGCTTGCACAGGAATAAGGCATTAAGAGTTAAGGAGGAAAGTTACACTCAAGTATCATTGCATTTCGGTGCCACCGAGGATTTTATTAGATTAGCATCCTATCAGACTATCTTGGTTTTGGGTTCTGGACATTCTGCGCTTTTAACTTTATATTGAAAATTACTCAATCGCTGGTTTATTCCGCTGAGGACAACGGAAAAGTCCTCTGGAGCAGGGTATTCTATTCTAATGAATAATCGTTCACATAAGCATTTAGGCTACAAAACATTTTTTTTTCATTTCAATCCTTTAAAAAGAATGATGAGGTAATTTTGGCAGGCTAAAGGCAGGAATGAGGTTGAGAAACGACGAATCTTCGTGCCCTTGTTCAGAAACAAATTTCAAGGAATTTTCCAGAACTTCGATCGATGTTTTCAGCCTTTAAAATTGTATGAATGATGTTGTAAATAGCAAGAGAAATAGTTATCAGCTGACAATTGTGGCTTACACGGATAAATTCTTAACTTTCGCTGGTACAGATTCAAACGACTCATACGATGTGGACATATTCGATTACCAAAGCATGCAAATTCTGTTTTATAAGCTGAGTTTTTCAAATTCCTTATTGTACCAGGATGTATCCCATGGCTTTGATATGTTTTATCCCGTTATCCACACCACTTCGACCTGCCTCGTTACCACAAGTGTTCGAATTGTCAGGGTTACCACCTGTGCCAAATCCGATCCTTGAGTCGCACGAGGAACACTCATTCTGGTTGTTGCTAACAATACCAATTCTGGTTTTAGAATTTTCACTCCAACTACAAACAGCATTGAACCCTTCTTTGTTGCAGCTGTACTGTAATGAGCCTTGCGAGCCAACCAACTCTTTCCACTTGTCACGACCCAGTGAGGTGGCGCGGTATTGCCCATCAGCGATCAGTGAGTACAGAGAGTCAGCCTTCTTGTGGATGACAATGAACCTGAGCTGTTGGTCGATCTTCATACCGAGGCAGATCTTAGAGAAGGATGTGTTCCAGTAGGTGGGTAGCTTTGTTTCCTGCTCGTCGAACCCAGTCTTTCCCCCGGGGAGGTTGTATCCTTTATAATCACTCCAGTAATGTGCATTATGGTGAAAAGTGGTCTGTAACAAAAAGAATCAAAGAATCCCTTCCTTGCTTCTTTAATATTCATCACTGGTATTAACATAACTAATTGTACTCGCCGATGTTGTTTCCAACCTTAAAATGATCATTTCAACTTGCATTTTCCTCAAAGATTTTTTTTTTACTAATTTAAAAATGTTTTTTAATTAATCAAAAAAAAAAGAAAAAAGAAAGAAAACGTGCTAGTCACTAATTTTGGTTTTTTAAAAAGACCTATAAGAATTTTTCAAGTTAGATGCTATCTGTATTAGATCGTATCTCCTGTATACTGTTTAAGTTTTAACGCTGCAAGATTTATGGCTGTGCCATAAATCGGCTCTAATTATTATATACCATATTGCCGTCCATCTTCATGACCGGCGTCCATCCTCCATCTCCACATCCAAAATCTCCCATGTGACAGAGAACGGAGACTGGTTTGGAGTCCAAACGGAGGGTGACCAGTTTACTAACATCAGACCTATTTGCAATCATTAAGAACCCTAACTTACGTATCAAAAATAATGATTTTGTCTTTACGATGTAATAGATAGATGCAGTCCCACAATAAAAACAAGTAGATTTGAGTGCCTCTCAGAGTAAAGATAAATATTTGTTGCTAAAATACCAGCCTTCTCCTTCTCGCTCTATACATGTATATCTCCTATCGAATATCGGGACTTTCCCTTTAGAACGCTTTTAACGGGGAACTGAGATGGGAAGGTTACTTTATGTCTCATCGTAAGTGCTCCATTTCACTGAAAAAAAGACCACTCGTGCTCAACACTCTCTTCCAGTCTCGCAGTCTACTCAAGTATACCGCAATAGTAGAAAGAAAACACGACAACAATGGGAAGAATACAGCATTTTTGTTGCTGTTGCTCTTTAATAACGTTTACAATATTGCACGTATTAGTTGTTGCATGTGTCTTCAAAGATGAGCTTAAGCATTAGAGAAGTTTGCATAATGGTTATGTCACTAACACAAAGTTCTACTTACATAGGGGGAGGGGGGGTGGAGAGGCTCAGGTAATAATGTGATATCATTTGCATCGAGAAAAACAAGTGATCTCGTCAAATGGTTTGCTTGATGATAGTTTTTGAGTTCAATTGACAAAAACATGTTAGGAAACAAACTTACCTGTACATGTCATACAATTCCTTGCACGACTTCACGGCTTTGGGAAAAAAGATGATTTGGAAATATCAACTGGGTTAATAATTAAAATTAGGTTTCGTAAAGAGTTTCAAAGCAGACGTTGAGAGCGTTAGCCCTCTTCAGAGCTCGGGGAGGAGATTTGGGATGTATGTGTTTTTATTCAGAAAATGGAGCTAAGCTACTAGTGCGAACATGGTGACGAGAAAGACAAGAATAAATTAGTTGAATGAAAAGCATTCATTGATACCGTAGGGACTAAGAATGCCGATTTGAAAGATTTTATTTTGCTCTAGAGTTTTGCGACTTTCCGAGCTGCCTAGTTGTAGGGAAAGGCTGCAGATTGCCATGTAAATGATTAGAGAGATTTAAGTGTCTAGCGACTGGTCTGGTTTGGATGCGTCCTTGTCATTCCTTTCGATGTCGCGAAGTTGTCCTCGGGATCGGTCACCTAGTCGTATACTGTTTCGCCAATGTCCATATTTTTGCATTAAGTGCAAACTATGCAATGGATGACATTGGCAGGGGTGCACGTGAAGTGATCAGTAATCTAAATGGAACCCCGGGTCTTGATGTTTTCTCTACGTAGTGAATGAAAGGACAGGTTTTGTATCGTGCGCGACCGCATTTGAAAGTTACAGGTTCGTCATTAGTTTGTAATGAACTTCTGACCAAAAAGTTGTCTTTTTCACGTTTGAATGAAATAAGTAAAAGTTGCGAAAAGATCAAGCCAGTCTCTGAATCATGTTGAAGTAATTTAAAACGATTTTTAGAATGACAAATTTCACCGTGTAGCCGTGAGGGTGAATCGAGTGCGGTCGGCATCTTCCTTCTGTGCCGTTCGTAGTGCTGACTGTCGATCAATTTGTTGGGCGCGTTGGTGGCCCACTTTAACAACAGAAACAGGATAGCCACGTTTATCGAAAAACTGGTAGATTGCCTCTGAATTGTCAGAAAAATCAGAGCCGTCGCTACATAAACAACGAAGTCTAAGAAAGCGAGAAAAGGAACAGAATTCTTGATGTAGGATAGATGTGAAGATAAATACAACAAGTGACGATGTGAGTCTGTAGAGTCCGTAGGTTTGTAGTGTTGGCAGTACAGTTGAAACTTTGATATCTAGAAAAGTCAAACAATTGTCGGAAATTTCCCAGGTATATTTTAGGGCTGGGTGATTGGCAACTGTTATAATTTGAATTAGCTCCTCTCTGGTAGCCGGAGAAGATAGCGCCGATACAGTCGTTAATTAAGCGACCGTAGAGTCCAGGTTTGGGGCCGTTGATTTGACTGAAAAATTGGTGTACGATAAAACCTACGAAATGATTGGCGTAACTGGGTCCCATTTTGGTACCCATGGCTACGCCATTAGTTTTTTTGTAATAGTTGTCCCCGAATGAAAAGTAAATAAGTGTTAGTACTGGTTCGGCGGAGTAATGTTTCAGAGCCAGGTTCCTCAACAGTTCGTCGATCAAGTAAATGTTGTACGGTAAGGGGCTAATATAAAGTATAAAGAGATATAATATCCATAGTGAAAAGAAGACTGTCTTGGCCAAGGAAATTAAAGTCGCGAAAAATTTCAAGGGCATGTTGCAATCACCTTTTAAACTATAAAGTGCACGTGTAGTGTCACGTGAATTTCGATGTCCGCAAAAGTTCGGACATTGAGTCAACCACCCACTACCCGTGTTCGAACCTCGGCTTCGGTATTCTGTTGATAATAATTTCCAATGTCGTGAAGCGTTGCTATGCTCAAAATTGACTTTTTTTATGTATCATATGTTTGATTATGTATAAAGCGAATTGATATTTCTCTACCGCTAACGTAGATGCGAATAATATAGCAGGAAAGCGTTCGAGCATGAAATAATCAAACTAATTCTGCGCGCGTACAGTGATGTATCTGATCAGGTATTTTCAGGGAGTTGAGGGCGTAGATTGTCAAATAAAACCACTTCTGATGGGAAATTGTTGCTCACGAATCGCTGAAAAAGAGATGAGGGAATACTGACATATCAATTACCTTTCTGACAATATTCTCCCACGAAACCCTGTGCGCAGAGACAGTCATAAGAGTTGAAGTCGTAATTCGGGATGCAGGTTCCTCCGTTTTGACATGGCGAAGAAGAACATGGAGACTGAAATAAGTCAGGAATATTGACCATTAAGACCGACGAATACTTGAACAGTAGATGCGACATATGAAGCATATAGTTTTAGAATTACCAACAGCATTTCCGTTCAGAGCGTCATTTTCATCTGTTTATGTGTTGATGCGAATGAGATACATACTGCTTCAGAATCAAAAAGGTTCTTACCCGAATAAACAAATGATGCGAACTCATGTTTTGGCTGTAGTTCTCGGCGTCGGCTCTGCTCTTATCAGAAGACAATAATTCGCACCAAAGCTTTCCATCTGCTCCTCTAGAGGCGGCCATGTTTATTGAAAGGCACAGGGTATTTCTCACACATTCAAATGTGCAATCAAACATGTCGTTCGAGGTAAACATTCCAACTCGAGTTACGTTCAGATAATAGAATTCTTCTTTTGAAAACTGACGTTGTTTAAATGTCTGTCTGAGAGGACGCCATCCTTCTTCCGAACTTTTTATTCCTGGTGTGAGAAACACAAGAGGAATGTTTTTGTCGAATAATGCGATAAAATTCTCCTGAATATACAATGTACAAGGCTATAGAAATGAGGTTATCGCATGACAAAATCGTTGTAAGGTTTCAGTCGCTTAAACCTTAGATTACAATAGATTATTACGAATGCCTTTATGAAGGTTAATAGGCCTGCCTATTAAACGTCTTGTGTAAAAATATATTGTAGTTTTGGTGTAAATTTCGATAGAGATCACAGGTTTCGCTGAGGATCGCCCGGTGCCTTTGGTCCAACTAATAACATCTAATTGCCAAGCAGTTTTGGGACTTAAAATATATAAAAGACAAAAAAAAAACCATTAATATACAGGAAATAGTAAGAGTATTTACCTAGAGAAAAGTTGGCTGCGGCAAATATCAAAAAAACAAGTAAGATAAAACGAGATTGCGCTTGACATCCGCAGACATGACTGATGGCCAATTAGACAAAGGTACATTCCTGTTAGTTTGCTCTATGGAATAAATTCTGACTGAACTGTGGTTAACTTTTCTGTTGCTCACCGGCGACGCACGGTTGGCTTGTTTTTGTGCACTAGCAACATAGGTCACGCACCACGCAGAAAACCGGCAACCAGTCGATTCGGATTAGCTGATAAGACTGTAATTCAGCTGGTAAGCTGATAAGCTTCGATTCAATTGAAGGAATGAGAGCCTTTAATTTGTTCAATCAAAATTTTAATGAGTCAATAGACATCGAGGGTTTTAGTTGCGCTATGGTCACAGAATCGACAGTTTTCTTCTGGAAAGAACAAAACGGGCTTTATGTGTATTGTAGCAAATTGATGACAGTCACTTAACCTTGCAACTAATTATTTATACAAAAATGTAGCACCTTTGAATCCCTCAAAAGGCAGGTGAGAGTAAAGAAGTATACACGCGAACAAGGGCAGACTTGTATCTTGAAGGGATAGAGGACAATTAAGGGAGAAAGAACCAACACACTTTTTTTTTTCCACTTGAGTGATAAAAAAAATTATACATCACCTTTATTAAACGGACTATATATACTAAATTTCAAGGCCCTCAAATTTCTACTCACTCGCATGTTAGAGCTCAAAGGTAGATGTCAGATCTACTATACTTAGATTCCTTGTCATTGCGTCGAAAGATGGCTGATGAGGCATCACTAATTATCGACTGGTTCAAGTTGGGCATCTTGAGAAATTTGGCCTAAACATTGAAATTATTATGTTCAACTTGCTGCTTTTTGGAATTTTTTGTTTTGCCTATTGGTTAATTACCTCCCCCGTCAACTAACTAAGTTAAGTATTTGTAGTCCAGTAGAGAGACACAAAAACGGATGAGAACGAGAAGGTAGACGAGGAATAATTTAGCAGATTTTGTAACTAGCTCTTGTTACGCAACGCTTTGCCTGAAACAACTGCTGAGTGGACAAGCTTGAAAATGTGGTATTATCATTCACAAAATGATCTATTTTATATCTATTCCGATGTATCTTCTGTTGATGTAATCATTGTATATAGGGTTGCGTACGAATTTTAAATTGCAACACCTAATAAAAGATGTCGCAGTTTGTGATGGATATAAATTGCAATTTCCTGTACTTTGCAATTCTCAATCGGTTTTTGTGGTTAATTATCTTCCCTCTTATGTGCTGACCCATACTGAAGTTTAATGAAAGGTCTATTCATCAAAGCAGAAATAACTATAGAAAACAATGGCTATTATATCAAGGCTTCCATACTCATATTTAGACGAACTTTTTATCATGATCATATATCCACTCTAAGACTATAGAATATTATAATTACAGCTCATTGACCGGTGACGCACGAAGTTAAAGGATATTTAGACTAAGGCACTTGACTAAGTGGCTTTAAGTCCTTTTGAAATAAATCGCGAAAACAAGTTGCTGTAAGAAAACAAGATCCTTTGACATTAGCTTTGCCTGTTACAAATCTTCTTGAGGCTTTTAGGAAGATTGTCGCTTTTTTGACCTTTGACAAAAGCTTGACTACAAGGTTTGCAATCTTCCAAAAGTGAAATTTCCATATTGAATCACCACTTCATTTTTACGGCAAAGTAGCAGACGAAAATTTAATTTCGTCGAGGCATTAATAATAAATAAATTTCCCTGAAGACAAGATGGTCGCAGTCAACAGGAATGGAAAGAAAAAGAAAACGAGATGGCGCATGAAATCAGTATTTTGTCTATTATGGCCTTTCCAAAACTGAGTGATCGACTGAATAAGAGGCGAATGATTTTAAAAATTACGTCCCTTACTTGTGGCAAGTAATGAAAGCGTTTTCCTTGTGTTGTCGCCTAATGTTTCAATAAAACATGATTTACATTTACGGCAATTACTGATGTAAATCAACTATGTACGAATTAGGGATTACATAAATTTCAATCACAATATTCACAACTGCTATCCCTTAACCTTGCCAAATTAACCAAACCAGCGAAAAAAATAAAAGTAAAAAAGTCTAAAGTAAAAGCAGAAGAATTTGATATTAAATCTTTCGATACTGAGAGTTTGATGGCTTGAAATCTGTGATGTTGTAAATCATACAGTAATACTCTCTTGAGACAAAATAATACTATTGATACTCTGAACGAAGCTTGACTATGAAAAGGCTAAATATGATAACTATCTTTCTGTATGCATGTATTAATCCTTATAACAGCGTGCTGCATGAAAATCCTTGCAACATAGGGGTAGTTCTCAAGCCCTCGACAACAGTTATCGCATTCGTATTCCGAGAACACGATATGCAATGCTAAAAGGTTATGGCGATGAACCTACCATATCAGAAAAGTGCTGCAAGGTTTCAGAGCATCGAACTTTCCTTTACAATAAACCAGTACTACTGAATGCACTGACTCGTGAAAATTGTGTAGGCACAGGTGTAGCTGGGAATCGACAAATGTATTTGGTCCACCTTATTGCCAAGCAGTTTTGGGATTAAAAAAAAACCTTCGAATAACAAAAAGAAAATAACAAAAATGTTTACCTGAAGAAAATTGGGCCGCAGAGAAGATCGAAGACAAGAAAATTAAATCGAGATAACGCTTAAAAACAACAAACATAACGAATGGCTGACGCACAGGGGCAGCGTTTGACTGCACATGCGCCTAAGGTGCCGTTTGATGGTCACGTCCAAGTTGTTTGTTGAACATATTAAAAGTTTTTGCTAAATGGGTGAAATAAAAATATTTCACATCGTCTTAAATATTTAGAAACGATGAATTGAAAAATCATGTACAAATTTCATTGCCTACAAATTTCGATTCATTCACATCTAAAAGATCGAAGGCAAGTTTAAGGTCAGCTATACTCAAAGTCCTTGTCATTCGCTAGAAAAAGTGACGATTGAGGTTTTTTTCACCTGTTAGCCTATCTCATTTAATAAGTTTACTTTAAGGGTTTATCACTTAGTTATTCCAGCATAAAATGCTAAAAGAAAATACAATGAAAGGTTGTGTCTTTG